CTCCTTTTTTTCTTTTTTTTTTATTCTGTGATTTATTTACCTTCGATGGCTGTCACTGGAGCTGAGAGCCACCTTTAGCTCTGAGGCTTGGCTCCAGCTCTTAGGCCTCTGCTCCTGAAAGAAGTATCTGGTTTGTTTCGGCTCTATAATCGAAACTCTGTATCAATTCCAGCTCTGAGATCCTAGCCGGCTGAAAGCTGGTTTCTGGGATTTTGTTTAGCTTCTGTATGTTACAATGTTTCAAACTGCAGGCTCAGAGGCCGGCAAGGCAGGTGGGGAAGGTTGGCCTCCTCCTGTCACTGAACAAGCAAGCCTCATGTTCAGTTTAAGCTGCCTGGCTGCTGGCCACCATCTTGGCTTTCAGTTAATTTGCTTATCTCGCTGATTAGCCAATGGGAAGGGTAGCGGTTGTACGCTAATTACCATGTTTCTCTTTTATTAGATAGGATTATGAGGATTGACCATAATTGGAGTATTTCATGGTATGACTTGATAAAATAAAGTCATAGGGTTTTAACTACTCTATTACATAAAACACTCTGAATCTTTAAAAATTATGTATAATTTATATCCATAGGTTTTGAAAAATCAGATAGTTTGTTACCTAGTTTATTAACATTAGTAATAGAAAGAGAGGACAGGATAGGCCAGACATTATAAGCATGGTCATCTAGGCAGCTTCACCAGAAAGGTGCAACTTTATTTTCCTCAGAGAACCCACCATACACCTGCCCCAGTCCATTCCCTGCAAATAACTGGGGACAGGAATCAAACAAAGGGGAAGATGGGTGTACGTGCAGTGAAGTTGGGGTGACTTAAAGAAGGTGCTTGCCTGTCAGTTTAACGTGGGAACAAAGGTCATTGGCTAGGGGGGTGGGTCCCAATGCACACCCATGAAAATTCAGGAATACATAATCCCCAAATAATTCTCTCTCTCTTGCTTGCATGCTCTTATGCTCCTATTTCTTGCTTGCTCCATGACCTGTGCACATGGCCTATGGCCATGCAGGCCCCACATGCAATAGACTGCAGCTGGGTACACAGGCTAAGCTAGCCAGATGCTGGACTGGACTGTGCTTAGAGCAAAGACTCTGGGCAGTGGCTTTAAGTCTAGCTCTGCTGGAGAGACAGCTGGACTTTTTCCATGGCAGGATGGAGGGAAATGAAACCTTGGAGGGGAACTCCCTTAATATTGTATCATCAATAAAGCTTTGCATGATACCTCATCCTCCGTGGGGAGCCTCAGGAAATTCCTGTTCCCGGGGCTCCCCAAGAGCTCCACTACCAGTAACAGGTGGGGGACACAGACAGCAACTAACCCACCGATAACAGTTACACAAAACATTCTACACTTAAAACAAAAAGCATCTCTAGGCTCTGGTACTTCAAGTGGTTCTGAATTTCCATGCTTTCCAACACATAATGAAATTACCTATTTGTAACACAGGCTTTTCCTCTTAGAAATATGCATAACACAAGGATAGACAGAAAGCCTTTTGAATTAATTGAAGGTGCGAGTCTTCTGATTTCTTCCTTTGTTTAGCACCACTCAGGTTGTTATACCTTTATGCCATGCAAGATTTGAAATGGCTGAGAGGTGACTCTCTGGCAAAGTGGGAAGTAGATTAAGCAGGTTTATTCTCCAGCTCATATATTTTAGGGAAGAATACTATGGAACTCTAAGAATTATCCAAGCAGACCCTGGCCAGGTAGCTCAGTTGATTAGAGTGTTGTCCTGAGATGCCAAGGTTGTAGGTTCAATTCCCTGTCAGGGCACATACAAGAATCAACCAATGAATAAGTGAACAACAAATCCATGCTTCTCTCTCTCTCTCTCTCTCTCTCTCTCTTTCATCAATAAAAATTAATTTAAAAAAGAATTATCCAAGTATGTATCCCCCTTAGAGAGTCTTCATGCACCTTCACAGGTATGTGTACTCCAAAATGAAGATTTCAGCAATATATAATACCAAACAGCGATTAAATTTCCCTGATTCATACTACATCTTTTCTCCCTGTTTCTTTTTCTTTTTCTTTTTCTTTTTTTTTTTTTTACAGAGAGGAAGGGAGAGAGATAGAGAGCCAGAAACATCGATGAGAGAGAAACATTGATCAGCTGCCTCCTGCACATTTCCCACTGGGGATGTGTCCGCAACCCAGGTACATGCCCTTGACCGGAATCGAACCTGGGACCCTTCAGTCCACAGACCGACGCTCTATCCACTGAGCCAAACCGGTTTCGGCTCTCCCTGTTTCTCTTCTGATCCAAAGAGTCGGGGAGGAGGGGAGAAATTATTTTCCCAAAACGTTCATCAAAACTTAACCCACCCTCACTTCAAAGTTGAATAAAGTGTTCATGATTATTGAACTTATAAAAAGGGACTGCCAGAGATATTAAAATTCCAGAAAAAGCTCAGAAAATGATAAAAAAAAGTTTAGAATAGCAAGCAAATAGTTGAATCTGGACACCGTCTGAGTATGCTTGCTTTCTGCAAGTAGGCATGTGAATTTCAAATGGAAATAATGGTGATCCTAATTCAAGAGGGCACACTAAAAATTTAACAAGAACCCCTTCCTCCACCCACCCACAGCACTCAGCCACCAGTACTGAGAATCATTACTGTGAGAAGTCAAGTCTTACCTTTTCAGAGGTAAGTTAGTTTTAAGCTATTTATTATCTTTTAATATCTACATTCATTTATACTTAAGGAATAAAATAAGGTTGATGCATAATAAAAATATACTTTCCGGAGGAATCTGAAATCTTACCGAAATGGAGAATCTTTTCTCCTTTTTTCTCTGAAAACACTCATGCTTGGTTTCTTGGTTTGGGAGGTTCCAAAATCACTGTCCTCCAAGTCTTCCCAACTATCTCCAGACTTGAACACAGTCTGACCCCAACGCCTCCTCATGCTCTTGTGCCCCAGCATGCTGCTTGGCTTCTGTGGTGGAAAATCAATCATCAGCCTCTTTGATCATTTGCTGAATGCTTTTATGTATAAGCTATTGTATTTGATACTAAGTGTCCCCATTCTCAAGGAGCTTTCCTATAGTTATGGAAATAACATACATATATGTACATACATTTAAAAGTATTACCAAAAATAGAGGTAGCACATGCTAAAAATATGGCAGGAATTGAGAGAAGGGCAAGATCTCTGTAAACTTGGTTTGGAGGGAGACTTGAAGACTTAGGATCAAAACTGACTCTTCATTGATGGGTAATTTGGAAAACTGCCATGTGTTGGCTGTCTCTCATTAAGAAGTGACAACTTCTCAAAGCCTTCATTTCTTCCTCCTTAAATGGGAATATATAGTATTTATCTAACTTTGTGTTTATTAATTTAATAGTAAAATACATTGAAAGTCCTTAGGATAGGGCCTCACACATAAGACTTACTAAAGGTTAGTGAAAGGGTGAGGGCTACGCCCTCCATCTTGCCCTGGATCCTCCATTTTTGGGCAGCAGCCATTAGCCATGTGCTCAGCAAGGAGCTTCTTCCCGGAAGGCCAAGCCTATGCTAGCCACACCTAGGATTTCTTTAAACAAACCAATGATAATCAAGGGAAGTGCATGCCATAGATATGACCACATCCTGTGTAACAAGACACCGACTTGTGCCCGGCCAATCAGCAGGGCCCATAGTCCTCTCTCCTCCCCTTACTCCAACCCCCCTATTAAACCCCTCTCCCCACACAGCCTCCTGAACCCCCTCCCCACAGAGCTCTCTCTCTCTCTCTCTCTCTCTCTCTCTGCCTCCTGCCTCTGCGTTGGCGAGTGTGGTGGACGGGGAGCGCGAGCTAGCTCGAATAAAGGCTCTTTTGCTTTTGCATCGGACTCGGCTCCCTGATGGTCTTTTGGGGATCCTGAAATCTGGGCTTAACAGTTAGGTATTATTGCTGCTGTTATTATTGTTATTAGTTTGGAAGAGGACATGTATAAAGTATGGCTTTTCAATAGGAAAGGGCCAGAGTTTGTTCCAGGAAAAAAGGGTAGACTAAGTTTACAGAAGCAGGTAGTTTGTGCTGAAGTAGTGGAGGATGGGATTGCAAAGACAGATGCATACTACATTATGAAGGGCCTTCAATGTCTGCCTAAGAAATTGCAGCTACCCTGTGGGTAATAGAGAACAATAGAAAAAACCCCACACACAAAACAATGGGATAAAGGCAGCATGCTAGAAAGGTCAGGCTTCAAATAGGAGGCCTTTAAAGTGACAGTGGCATGCAGTGACAGGGGCAACAGATTCATAGTGTTTGGAATGCTCAGGAAAGAATACATTTGATATCAACAAGGGAAAAAAAGGTCTGGATTTTATGTCTATCTCAAAAGAGGTCAAAGGACCATGTGGCAGACACTGCTAGTTGCCCACCCAATAGCCATCCTCACCTTCTTCCTTACTAATATTTTGTTCAATGCATCAATATGCCCAGTTAAAATATCCAAAATTCCAGCCTCCCTTGCAGCTATATATAGACATGTGACATGATCTAGCTAGTGAGCTGTAAGTACAAGTCTATTGGGAGGGACTTCCAGGAAAGACTTTGCTAGCATGTACCAGTGTTTTTCACTCCTTCCCCTTCTAGAAGTCAGATGCAACCCTATAGGAGCAACAACCATCTTATGTCCATACGAATAAATGCTGCCTGCTACGAGGTAGAACAGGAAGACAAAAGCAGTCTGGCTACTTTTATCAGCAGCACCAGTCCTGGCTTGCCCACCACTTGACTTCTTATGAGAGAAAAACAACCACTTATTGTTTAAGCCATAGTGGTCAGGTTTCTGTCATAGTCACTACATTGTAACCCTAGTGGACACAGAGAAAGAAAGGCCAGGACACTTTAAAAGTTGGAGCCTGCCCATTTCAGAATGGTGATTCTCTTAATAGAAATAAAGAATTAGGAAGAAGACCTGGCTTGGGAAGACAGTGAGTTGGTTCTATTAAAATTTACATGGGGTTGTTTGGGGACACATAAACTGAAAAATCCAAGGCAATTGAAAAGTAGGGAATTTGGAAGCAAGGTGAGCAAATGCAACTATGTTGGGAGCAAGAAGATGCTTGAAGAATGGATATGCTATTACTTGAAGTCGATGGAGTAATAGTGATGGAGGTTGACAAAAACTGTTATTTGCCAGATTTTAGTACACCACTTTTTCTTTGCCAGGGAGCATGAGCTCCAGACTAAGGAGAATAAAAAGATTTAAAGCCTCAGATGAGTAGAGTTAATCAAAGGTTATACTTAGCCGAGTTTAAGTCTTATTTCAGCTGAATTGTATTTTAGGGAGCTGATGTTGTATGCTATTAAACAATGTCAGTTTTATGAAGTAGTCTTGTATGTCTGCGAAAACTGGAAAGGGGCAATATAAATAATTTTTGTAAAGTAGAGGGTGGACTTTTACAAATTGCATATTAATAAGGTTGGTATACTATGAGGGAAAAGATTCTAAAATTAGTTATAAAGGGAAAGTTTTTAAGCCCTGAGTAAAAAAAAGTGGTAGATCATATAGGCCACCAGGTAGTCTACATGGACTTGAGCACAGCAGGTGACAGAGTCTTTCATGCTATCAACAAAATGAAGGAATGAAAGGACAACAAAGGTGGATCAGTACTGTTATGGACTGAATGTTTACATCCCCCCAAATTTATATGTCCCCCAACTTTATATGTTGAAATCTATATGTCCCCCCAAAAGTTATGTTCCATTGTGAGGGTATTTGGAGATGGAGCCTTTAGGAGGTAATTGGGAATTATATATGAGGCCATGAAGATGGAGGCCCATGTGATAGGATTAGTGCCTTTATAAGAAGAGACATTAGCCCTAGTTTGGCTCAGTGGATAGAGCATCGGCCGGTGGACTGAGGGTCCTGTGTTCGATTCCGGTCAAGGGCACATACCTAGGTGGCAGGCCCAATCCCCAGTAGGGGGCGTGCAGGAGCAGCTGATCAATGATTCTCTTTCATCATTGATGTTTCTATCTTTCTCCCCCTCTCCCTTTCTCTCTGAAATCAATAAAAAATATATTTAAAAAATACTGTGTGTCTATATACATATACACTGAGTGGCCAGATTATTATGACCACCTGACGTTTGTAGGCAAATTAGCTATAATTTCGTGCTGAAGTTGCTAGAGGGCCAGACTATTATAAATAGGGAAGCAGATAGTTTACCGTGACAGTAGAAGTGATTTTTTTCTGAAGATATGGATAAACAATGTGATTTAACAGCCTTTGAACGTGGGATATATATTATTATGAGAAGCCAGATTATTATGACCACCTGACGTTTGTAGGCAAATTAGCCGTACACTGCATCATATGGGATATGGAAGCTGAAGGCCTGCTCGAACACCTTTGCTGTCTGAAGTTAGCAAGATAAAACATCTCCAATTCTCACAGGAACACAAAGATTGGAAAGTCGAGCATTGGAAAAAAGTCATGTGGTCCAATAAATCACGTTTCCAGTTGCATCATGCAGATGGCAGAGTGAGAATTTGGCGGAAACAGCATGAAAGCATGCACCTCACATGCATGAGTCAAACCATAACACTGCCCCCACCAGCTTCAAGGGTTGTACTCATGCATGTGAGGTGCATGCTTTCATGCTGTTTCCGCCAAATTCTCACTCTGCCATCTGCATGATGCAACTGGAAACGTGATTTATTGGACCACATGACTTTTTTCCAATGCTCGACTTTCCAATCTTTGTGTTCCTGTGAGAATTGGAGATGTTTTATCTTGCTAACTTCAGACAGCAAAGGTGTTCGAGCAGGCCTTCAGCTTCCATATCCCATACGATGCAGTGTACGGCTATTTTGCCTACAAACATCAGGTGGTCATAATAATCTGGCCACTCAGTGTATTTTTTTAAAAAGAGAGACATTAGAGAGCTTTCTTTCTCTCTCTCTGCCACATAAGGGCAAGGCAAGAAGTACTGTCTATGAGCCAGGAAGAGGGTTCTCACCAGAAATCAAATTGGTTTCCTTAATAATTAACTTCCCAGATTCCAGAACTGTGAGAAAATAAATTTCTGTTGTTTAATCCACCAGTCTATGGTATTTTGTTATGGCAGCCCTACCAGAATGAGTACATAATTCAATAATGTAAGAGTACTGATTAATGGATCAGTGTCAATCTAGAACAGCGGTTCTTAACCTGTGGGTCTCGACCCCTTTGGGGGTTGAGCGACCCTTTCACAGGTGTTGCCTAAGACCATTGGAAAACACACATATAATTACATATTGTTTTTGTGATTAATCACCATGCTTTAATTATGTTCAATTTGTGACAATGAAATTGGGGGTCACCACAACATGAGGAACTGTATTAAAGGGTCGCGGCATTAGGAAGGTTGAGAGACACTGATCTAGAAGAAGGTTCGAGTGGTCTGCCCTAAGGTTCACTGTTCATCATAAAAGTAAAGGAGAAAAATCAAATGAACAATTAAATGAATCCATAGCTGGTGACAAGCTGGATAGGATGGTTAAACTGAGAAGGCAAAATAAGGGTTTAAGAACACTTATTAAAAATTTGAGAGGTAAAAATAAAGTATTGTAATTTTTGAATCCTAGAGATCAAGTACACAAAGAAAGGTACAGAATATGTAATTTAGCACTTGTAAAAAATAACCTTAGAAATTTTAGTTGACAAAATGCTCAATCCCAACTCTGGAACTTATTAGCTATTGAAAAATTTAGGATGAGGTTATTGGTTACTTTAACTTAGTGAATGCATGCTGGGTGGTGCCTAGCAGAGTGCATGACACTTAGTAGTTACTTAATAAATATCAGCTTCCTTTTCTTGTCTCTCAATATGAGTCAACATTTGATGTTCATTCCAAGAAAAATAAACAAAAACAGAAATGTAATCCTTAGTGTCACAAGTGAACATATGGCTCTGGAATGCTGGGGGTGATTCACCGTTTTCCCCTCCCTACCTGTTGTCTGCCTCTGGTTCTGGCAGCCTCATTTTACATGGGAAGTAGGTGGTGAGGGGACTCAAAGGCTCCTTCATACGCAGGAACCAAAGGTTACTCAGCCACTGGTGAACAATGTTGTATGTGGAGTATGTGAGGGAACGGGGGTGCTTCTCCCTAGAGAAAAAGGCAGATGATGAAGGGCTATTTTCAAACATCTGAAAGGCTGCCTTCTAGAAGAGTGCTTAACCTTTGTTAAAAGCTACAGAAAGTCAGATTTTAGCTCAGTATAAAGAACTTTCTTAGTCAGAAAGTATGGCTTTCTCAAGACCCTGGAGGTTGCTCAAAAATAGTGTGGACATCCATTCATTCACCAGATATTTGTTGAGAATTTACCATGTGCCAGTCCCCATTTTGGTTTTTGGGTCTGTATTGATAAATAAAACAAACATCCCTGACTTTATGGAGTTTAAATTCTTGTAGGAAGAGCCAGAAAATAAATAATACACATAAGAAACAAGTAATCAATAGCATGTTGGAATGTTGTTGCTGCTTATAGTATATCAGGCCCACAGGACTGGATAAGGAATTAGACACTGTTCTTTAAGATCTCTTTCAGTTCTAAAATCCGCAAATACAATGCATTTGGGAGTATAGCATACATCTTGAGGAGACAGTTAAAATATATGGCACCTGACAAGCTCCCTGAAATGAACAAAAGAAGTGGGAAGAGGAAGTTTTATATTATGCCTGACACTTAAAAAAACATTCTGTTCATGTTCATCAACATTTAAAAACAGTATAAAATTACTATTAAAATCCTTATCAGCTCTCTTTTGTCCCTGAGTTCTTGTGCATCTAAGTAACTTAAGAAAAGTCTGTAGCATACAAACTTTATTACGTTCATTCTGAGGTTTTCTTTTTAGAATTTTATCTCCTGCCAAGCTCTTGCCAGAGAAAGTAGAGGCTTTAACACAGAATAATCTTTTGTATCTTCCCTGACATTTTCAGA